TAATTTTGAGTTGCAGATTTCCTACAAGTTACAGATATTGCACAGCACACTCCCTACCTCCTCCGCAAGCCATACAGCCCGTAATGAGTATGCCCGTTCGCATGCTGAAATTTGAAATTTGACAAGAAGGCTGCGGAGGAGGTAGGCACACTCCCTATATCAGGGTTTTCAGTGACTGGTTATATTAGGACCGGAACTGGCGTGAAGCAGACCGAGGTAGATTGTGAGCTTAAGCCTGGTTCACATATGCCTGCGGCATGCCTGCGACTGTATCATTATGCCTCTACTTGCCGCCGAAATACCGGCAAAGTTGAACTCAAGTCAACTTTCCCGGCCTACCGCCGATGTAACTGTGGCACTGGAGGCAATCGGCGAACAAATATTCACATAATTCACGTTTTAAGCTACCACCGGCATCGTCGCCGGTACGTCGCAGGCACGTCGCAGGCATATATGTGAACCAGGCTTTACAGATGCGCTTTAAGCAGCCGCTATTAGTCCGTATCTCATTAATGATCTGCCCCCTGACCTGACATGGTTTCCGCACAATTTTTAAATGTTATAACAAATCTTTTTACTGAGATACCTTTTTCATATCACGTACTTCATTGTTTGTATTCTTAATTCGACACAAAAGCACTCGTACCCTAATTTATTTTATAGTAGACAGTGCCGGACACCAAAAAATACACAGTGAGATATTTTCCATAACTAGATCTTCACTAGTAAAGATATCGATTAAGTGTTCATTTTCTTTGTTATTATTACTAACGACTATATAATAAAAAGAACATTAAATACACGGTGGCTTGAAGTTTCATATCTTATTATTTATCTTCCCGTGGTGAAAACTGAAAACAATATTTTTACTCACTCAAAAATTAAAATTTATATCTTCGCACCGCCGTTAGTCTGCGATAGCAGACTGACTCAGAAGCCCCCCCCCCGGCCCCCCTCCCCCACTGGAGCTGCGGAGAAACAGCAGACTAATATCAGAGGCAGAGTGTAAGAAGGGCTCTGGGTACGAGAATGAGGCAGTGCTGATCAGTCTGCTATCGCATACTACACCCTGTCTCCGTACCCAGGCGTTTCTTTGTAAAAAAAACAGCGATGCGCATATGACGAGTTCACATGAAGTATTGTTGTACACCGCCATCTAACATCCTCTATATAGTACTCTCCTTGACCTTTCAAGACTAATAATGCAACATATCCTCACACGTAGTATTAGGGAGGCTGGACGCGCAGGGGCGGGAATATTAAAAAAGGTAATCATTTTTAGATTGGGATTAGATTAGAGCCAGATTAAGATTAAACCAGGGTTAGGGTTAGAGGTTAGAGTGGGGGTTGGGTGGGGGTTAGGGTTCAACTTAATATAAGGCATTTCCTTAATATTTAGCAAATTTGACAATTAAGGATAATCCCTATTAATACCACGTGTGAGGATATGCAGAATAGTACTGATAGTTTCGAATGCATATTTTGAACGAAACAATACTTAAAATGTACAAATTTTAATATATTCTTTTCCAAAATATACATAGTAATTACTGTTCTATTAAGATGTACAACAAAGTTCATTATAAAAACGATTTATAATAAAGTAAATTTACATTGCTACGTTTCATTCTCCATATTTATAAACGTAATAACACGTGTTTGAAGCTGCGAAGAAGCAAACATGAATCGGAGTTGTTCGGAAATTACCGGAACATTCGGAAATGCCGGTATATAAATAATTCGAATTCTAACTCGAAGTCCAACTCGAACTCGAACTCGAACTCGAACTGGAATCCAACTCGATGTTTCGGGATTCCCGGTCAAAGCTCTAGCGTATAAAAATTTAGATATTTTGAAATACCGAAATAAAATATGCAAATCTGCAGATACAAGCTTGAACATAACACTCTAAATAGTCTGTTAGATTGTGATTCGAACAAGACTAATACCAAAATGAAACGTTGAAAGTAGCCAAAGTTATATAATTTCGGCGAAAGGTATATATGGCTTATTAAATAGTGATACATTGTTTACATCGGTTCGAGTATATTGTATATAGGTATGATTAGTTTACATTGTTCGAGTTTGGCTAGTTTATAATTTATGACTATTTTACATTATTCAATTACATAATATCTTTCAAGCGGAATTTTTTGGTGGTATTTTCCGTATTTCTACTGCAAAATACTACTTATACTACTTATACTTTACCAAAATACTTTACCAATTACTATGTTACTAACAACAAAATACATCAACACAATACAAGAAACGCATCCAAACTTCATAAATCATACTCCAGAACTAATTTTGTCAAACATTCACTTCAAAATAAGGGTGTAAATATCTGGAATGAGTTAAATACCGACTTAAAAAATTTAAAATCCTATTGCACATTCAAAAAAAATTCAAAAAACCACTTCTTGCTGTTGCATTCGGAAACATAGATTTTATTATATGTATGTTTGTCATTATTTGAAACATTATAAAAATTCTTCAATCTCATCTTCTTTTTTCTTTTTCTATTAAACTTACTTTAAGTTCTGACCAATCAATGTAAATAATTAAATACTTTTAACCTAGGGGTCTTAATCAAAAGCCTTTGTTTGGTTTCTAGTAGACCTCTAGCCCTATTTCTGTAATTCTATATCCTATATACACATATATATATATATTTTTTCTGTATGTATGGGCGAAAACTTTAAAAATAAAATAAATAAAATAAAATACTCGCGGAGTTCTTTAGTATATGGAATTGAGTTGACAACCTCCGCCTTTATAAAATAGCGGGACTTCGGCATTAAAAACAGCCGTTCTGAGCATGCGCTGCGCCAATTATCCAATCAGAAACTAGAATTTCTTGTATAAAATAGTATTGCATATCCCGCCATATGAAAATCAGCGGAACACGAGACATGCGATTCACGAATTGCGTGAGTAAGCAATAATTGCGTGGAAATGAGCTAATTTTGGGTTTCGGAGGTCAAAGAGCAGACAGCAACATTGCGTTAACTATAAATAAATAAATGAAAGCACTGAAAAATGATCACAATTATATAAATTTTCAGAATAAGAAAAGCTGTTAATTTGGCTTCACTATAAAGCATTTCCTCATTTTTTTTATGAAATTTCTAGTCCCGCCAGGCGGGACAGCGGGACCGCTAGCTACGCCACTGTCACCCATCGAAGTTACTTGGTTGCTGACGGTTTTGTCGAGATCGTACTCTTAAATCTATACCAATAATAATCACAAAGCAATCTTGCTCCAACGCCATCGCAATGTGTAAACCGACGTCTGTACAAGAGTATACGCATGCATTTACTGCATTGATAAAGTTACACAGGCTTTCTGTATGCTAAAGATACAAGCAGAGCAAATCAAGGGCCCAGTGTAAAAACAAGCTATATGTGAGGTTCGATTCGCCTTTTGCAGTATTTTGAGAATACACTATATGTACACGCAAAGTGGTATTTGTTTTTGTACGCCGTGCTTATTTTATCGCTGTGTTTCCGCGTTATGCCCGGACGCGTAGTATCTGCACAGGTCAGCTATGCATAGAAATGTTTTTCGTTCATATTACGTATCAAAAATAGGTTCGCTAAGCGTACATGTACGTATTGCGCCAAGAAAACGATCTGTCAGTTACTAGTTCGTGAAAGGAACACATAGTAATTTGAGGTAATTAAAAGTAGTTCAAAAGCGTCAGATTGTGTTAAACAAGGGTTACGTTCAGGGTTATGAATAACTTTTATGATCACACAAACCTTATAATTTGATCAAACTGTTTTGTGGGTCTTAAGGCTGGAACTCGGACACACCGGACGCGATTAGAGGACGCGGCGCGATTTTTTTATTTCCACTGACCGACATCTTTGATCCCGATATAAGTTTTTCAAATATTTAGAAGGCTATAATATTTTGAGCTGTTGAGCAACCGTAATTACTAGAATAAACGCCTCCCTCGAATAAACGCTGCACCTTAACTAATAACAAGACGCCTGCTCAGGCGTTCACACTGGCCTGAAAATAATGAGATACGTGCTATGGTGCAAAAGGCAGGAATACAAATCTTAAACCCCAAGCAAATTTTATAGACTTTTTAAAAAAATAAAAGACCTTTTCGGGAGACGTAATGGAGATCGATGCACGTGCAAATCATGCCGACCTACAGAATCGATTTCCGGTTTTTCCTAACAGCGCGTTGTTTTCATGTGCGTTCCATGGGCCGCGCTAAAAATATAAATATTCTGTAAATACCGAAATAAAAGATGAGAATCTCAAGACACAAGCTTGAAAATAACACTATAAATAATGT